AGGAGCAGGGACGCTTACTAGGGGCTCCTGGCCTTACTACTAGTAACAAGACGCTACTAGGAACAAGGGCATCGCTACTAGGAGCAGGGACGCTACTAGGGGCTCCTGGCCTTACTACTAGTAACAAGAAGCTACTAGGAACAAGGGCATCGCTACTAGGAGCAGGGACGCTTACTACGGGCTCCTGGCCTTACCACTAGTAACAAGAAGCTACTAGGAACAAGGGCATCGCTACTAGGAGCAGGGACGCTTACTACGGGCTCCTGGCCTTACCACTAGTAACAAGAAGCTACTAGGAACAAGGGCATCGCTACTAGGAGCAGGGACGCTTACTAGGCACTACTAGCAACAAGAAGCTACTAGGAACAAGGGCATCGCTACTAGGAGCAGGGACGCTTACTAGGGGCTCCTGGCCTTACTACTAGTAACAAGAAGCTACTAGGAACATGGGCATCGCTACTATGAGCAGGGACGCTTACTAGGGGCTCCTGGCCTTACTAGTAGTAACAAGAAGCTACTAGGAACAAGGGCATCGCTACTAGGAGGGGTGAAGGATCAAAAAAAAATTGATAGGGATCAAAAAAAAATTGTTTGAGAAGATCATTTTAAAAATAATTTAGATCAAAAAAATATCACAGTAGTAGTGGTAGTAGTAGTAGTAGGAGGAGTAGTAGTAGTCCTAGTCGTAGTCGTAGTCGTAGTAGTCGTAGTAGTACTAGTAGTACTACTAGTAGTAGTAGTAGTAGTAGTAGTAGCAGTAGCAGTAGCAGTAGCAGTAGGAGTAGTAGTAGTAGTAGTAGTAACAATAGTAGCAGTAGCAGTAGCGGTGGTAGTATTAGTAGTGGTGGTGGTGGTAGTGGTAGTACCAAAGAGAAGAACAATATAATTAGAAGAACAAAGAGACCAACCCAGCAGCAGAAAAACAAAAGAAGCAGTAAGAAGCAAGGAAAGGCAACACACGCACAGAAAAGCAGGAAAAGTAACAAAGCAAAGAAGCGGTGAGACGCAAGGAAAGGCGAGACATGCACAGAAGGGGAAACAAGAGCCAGAAAAGTAAGCAAAAGCAAAAAGCAAAAAGCAAAACAGTTGCCAAAGCAGAAGAATAGAAGAAGCAAAGAAGAACAAACAAAATGGAAAGCACAAAAACCTAGTTTTAAAAAAAAAAAAACACAGCACAGTGAGAAAAAACAGCAGAAGCATATGCAAAAGCAAAAATGCAGCAGAAACAGAAAAGCTGCAAAAGCAGAATCCGATAAACATACCAAAAAACAAATGAACACATTTCGTAAAAAAAATGTACCTTCCAAACATAATTCAATATCAATCTGGAGCGGTCACCAGGATATGGAACGACCAAAGAGACGAAGGGACCAGGGGACCAAGAGACTAGGACCAGCAAACCAGTAAAGCTCAAGGGAGTAGGACATTCAGGAAGCAACAGAGGGAGCAAGAGGTCAAAGTGACCAAGGGATCAGGGGTTTAAGGCTTCTTTAGGCTTTGCTCACGGCTTCGCTCTTGGGTTTTCTTCTTTAGGGTTCTATTTTGGGCCTGGTTGAGGGCTTCGTTTCTTTAGGGTTTCTTTGTGCTTGGCTTGAGGCTTCACTTCTTTAGGGTTTCTTTGGGCTTGACTTGGAGCTTTCTTGGAGGATTAAAGAAGCGGGAGGGGGTTCGGGGGAGGGCGCCCGTAACGCAAACAAGTATGGACAGCATGTTTCAAAAGCAGCGGCGGCAGCAGAAGGATAAAGGGATGTAGCAGGAGAACCAAAGGACCAGAGGACCCAGGGATTAGGGGACCAGAGGACCACAGGACTAGAGGACCAGAGAACCAAAGGACAAGAGGACCCAAAGGACCAAGGGACCAGGCGACCAAGGGACCAAAGGACCAGCGGACCAAGGGACCAGAGGACCAAGGGTCCAGAGAGAGGATGAAAGGACTAGAGGACCGGTTACCAAACAATTTCTTTTTGATGCTTATTACTTTTTTCTTGATGCCTATCATTTTTTTTCTTGATGCTTATTAATTTTTTTTTGATACCTTATCACTAGGAGCAGGGACGCTTACTAGGGGCTCCTGGCCTTACTACTAGTAACAAGAAGCTACTAGGAACAATCCTGTCAGGCAAAACCAACCTTTTGATATTCGACCTCTGTCTAGAGTTGTGCACCTCGGAGAGGAGACAAGCCCGACATATCATGTCAGCTTTGCTTTGCTCCCTCCCGTTCACGCGTGAACTGATTACTATCACATGATGATATGCTTCTTGATCTTCTTGCTTCATCATTATGTCTAAAATATTCTTTAGGCTGCATCATCTGTCAACGCTGCTGATTCAGTTTGCAATTATCTTTCATGTTACTCATTTGAGCACATCAGTTGGCTGCATCACCAAATATGCTGGCCTCATGCTGTGTACTGCAACCAAAGACTCACACATAGCAGGTTAATTAGAAGGACCATGGGCCTAATCGACAATTGGTGCAAAGGCAGCGAAGCATATGATTCACATCGGATCCTTTTCCCGTCGCTCTCTCCAAGTCCATCAACAAGGCCTAGTTAGACCATGTTAGCTGAAAACTCACTACACAGGAAACTACAAAAAGTTAAAAAGCGCGGCTTGGTGGCATGGAAAACTGGGCGGGGTCCATGTTCCTGTAGGAAAAATTAGCGACACTTCACACATCATCAAACCACAGCATGCTCAACTCACGCTGTGATAGAGTAACATTGCCAGCAGCATTGCAGTCCTAAGGGTGTAGTGTAGTGCATCAGAAGCTCTCACTTCGCCTGAGAAAGTGCAACTTGCTGAGATGGTTAAACAACTGAAGGCAAAAACAACAATTCTTAGTTACCTCACGATGCTGGGAAAGATCTGAGCGGCCCAGCACCACAGGCTTCACAAGTCCAATGGCCACGCCAATAACAATCAAAACCAGCCTTCCAAAATCTTTCAAGCGGACTTGCTCCGAGATCTAGAAAAAAAGGAAAGCAAGAACGTAAGGGCCCCTTTAGTAAGGCGCCTTCTATACGTCTATTGCCTTTGTTTGGATTTATTCCTTTCTTGAAATCAAAAAGCCTAACTCTTGTGTTTCATTATGGCAAAGCATGGTGACGAGGTGCCCAGGCAGTGCCAGCAGCAAGCCCAGCAGCAATCCGTTCTCCAAGGTAAAGGCCGCAAAAAGGGCCGCGGCCAAAAGTGCTGAGCCTGAGAAAATAAGGATGTGTCCTTTTTGTATGTTTCATATATTATGTTCTCTTTTTGTTCCTTCCTTTGGAAGCCTTAGCTTCTTCTTTTCAGTCTTTCGTTCTTTCTGCCTTTCTATTTTTCTCTTCAGACCTGAGGACCTTTCTTGTCTTTCTCTGCTGTTCATCCTTCCTTTCTTTCAAAGCTCTAATTAGTGGCGTGAAATCGGCACGTCAAAGAAAACACGTCATCTTACAAACACTTGGAGCTCCATCAGTCTCCGTTTCTCGAGCCTCCCAATCCAAAGGGGACGCCTCCGTACCTTTGTGCTGCCAGGCCTAAGTTCGAGGCGCTTGGCTCTCACATTCCTAACTGCCTTTCACTAAAAAATAAACAGGAGCTACCTCCCTACTAGGGTGGAGGCCATCGGTATTAGGTTGGAGGCTATTAGGTTGGAGGCCATTGCGATGACTCCGGTCATTGGGAGCTACCTGTCACAGGCCTTAGGTCTTTGGACTACAAAATGTCCGGTCCTTGCAACAAGAATGTTCACCTAACCAGAAATGCCGCAAAATGATTCAAAACGCTTCGAATCTTCAACCAAGTGGCTCTCCACCTGTGAGAGAAGCCCAGTCTTCTCCAAGGTGCTAAGCCTTGAAGCAAATCCACGTGTTTTTTGGGATCAACATGTGTGGCACCTCCCAGAGCCGGAGATAAAAGTTCTAACCAGCATGTTGATCACGCAGCATCTCCGTCACATGCATCAAATGTAAAGCGTCCTTGCTCCTAGGAGTAAGGCCAGGAGCCCCTAGTAGCTTCTTGCTCCTTGAAGTAAGGCCAGGAGCCCCTAGTAGCTTCTTGTTCCTAGTAGTACGGGCAGGAGCCCCTAGTAGCGTCCTTGCTCCTGTGAAGGCGCACATAATATGTCATATGTGTATATCTATAATTTCCAAGCTCGTTTGGGAGAGCAATTACGCCAACTTTTACGCCATCCAGTCCTGAGGCCTTAGCAATCGGAGGTTCTCCGTCAGCGTCAAGGGCCGATTGACCAGGGAGCTGGCCAAACCTGCTACAACAAAAAAGTAGATTTGATAGCGCTGTTCAGTCATGCGCATCTTCAAATATTCTTCATCCGTTGACTTTAACATTCTGCACGTGAGGGATGAGGGATGAATAGAGAATTAGCATGAGCATGAAGCCAGCACGAGGGACGGCGTCAGGTTTCTGCAATCGAGACCATCGTTAACCGTTCACTGTTTTGGCCACACAGTTCCACCGAGTTGAAACAGCAACAAACACCAGCTAAAAAGATATACGGTGTTACGGTATGTTCACTGCGCATGCTAAAGACATGTGCCTAAGAAATTGGAGAGGAAACCGCTGGAAAAAGGTGTCTAGTCTTGCCAAGCGAGGTACTGCACTGCGAGTTAAAAATTTTGCGTTTTGACCTTGAGCTTAAATACCCTTAACAAACACGTGCATCTCTGGACAAAAGCACATGCTCCCGATCAAAAGTCCCTCACACTCTTGTGAAGCTGTTGATGATAGGATTGACTTAGCCCACTTTTTGGTTTCCTCGCCATCGGGGGCCCAATGGATAAAGCGTTTGCATTGTAAGCTAAACACTATAGTCTTTGGTGGCTCGAGCTTTCCCCACGCTCTTTAGGGGAAGGAAAAACCGATGAAGCAGCCACTCACTTTCAATTGAGCGGCTTCCGCTAAGTCTTTTCGGGGGTTCGTGTTGGACTGTATTCTTCTTCTGCCTTCTTGTTTTCTACTTTCTCTTGCTTGTGTTTCTTGTTTTTTCTGCTTGCTGTTCTGCCTTCATCTTTTTTCTTTGTCTTGTCTTGCTTCTTGCTTCTTGCTTCTTGCTTCTTCTTCTTCTTCTTCTTCGTCTTCTTGTTACAACAACCACCAAACCGTGTGATCACAAGGGCTTGGATCACACACCCACCGTTTGATCCATACCCTATGGATCGAGGTATGGATCGTGTGTGGGTTTGGGTGTGTGATCCAAGCCTTATGTTTCTGGCCGCAGCCATATACAATATGTTCTACTCTTCCTGGAGGCGGTAGGAGAGGCCAGGACCTCAAGACCTCAATTCTAATCCAATTCAGTTCTTTTCGTAAAAATTGATGTGAAGGCTGTGAAATGCCCGAGACGTGAATCCCAAGACTGACATGTCTTCTCCTCGCCCGTTTGATGTCACCACCAGAATGGGATAACGTCACATGTGTTCCTAGTAGCTTCTTGTTACTAGTAGTAAGGCCAGGAGCCCCTAGTAAGCGTCCCTGCTCCTAGTAGCGATGCACTTGTTACTAATAGCTTCTTGTTACTAGTAGTAAGGCACTTGTTACTACTAGCGATGCACTCTACTATAAGCAATCGTTCTTTGGGACATCGAGCAAAGCGGATTCACCCGTGAAAACGAGAAACCGAGTTAACCTTCGTTTGAAGGCAGTTTTCGCATGTTTGTGATTTTCGCGTGTTCGTGGCTTTCGCCGTTGTTTCGGTTTCATTGTTTTCGCGTTGTGTTTTGGTGTTTTCCTTGGTCAGCTCTGTACTCCGAAATGCATGCAGTGCATCCTGATCAGAACATTGTGCAGAGGGCATATATCATGACGTGCTTCACTTATACTTAGCACCAAAAATAGAACTGTTTCACAGAGACATGGTTCTTACACATAGAACCAAAGGCCTTCTTAGAATCATGATACTCGGGAGCACTTAGAATCAAAGGAGATTGGACTCTTTAACTTTTTCCCGGGCAGATCCAACGCAAGTCTTTTGTTCACAAGTTGTAGGGTACTTGATATGTTGATCACATATGGGTGTGTATTGAAGAGGCGGACATGTACTTGTGAACTTGTGAACCTGTCTACTGTCTAAAGGCTTTAAACTGCTTCTAAGTACTTGCTCTAAGAATGGCCACCTCTCATTGTTCAAAGTGCTCTAGTCCGGTGCATTCAGAAAAAATGAGTAGGAGCAGGGACGCTACTAGGGGCTCCTGGCCATACTACTAGTAACAAGAAGCTACTAGGAACAAGGGCATCGCTACTAGGAGCAGGGACGCTTACTAATATATGCGTCACTGTACATTCGGGAAAGCTTTGTTGAACTTTGACCACCCAGCCCAGGCATTGTCCGATAACTCTTCACTAGAAGATGAGAAGCACAGCCCTTGGTTCTAGCGGTAGAGGATTTCTATGTTTCATCACACTGGATTCACGGGGGCGTGCTTTGTGATTGCATACTTCTTTTTATGTGTTGCGGGGTCAGCTCGTTTGTCTCACTGTCACTGTAGGTTTTCGCATTTTCAGTGGTTTTTGCGCCGGATCCCTGAACATCCGCGTTTCAGTGGACGACGCGGAAAACCATGGCACAGTTCCATGCATGATGTGCTCTGGGATCCCATGCTAAGAAGACGGTTCTCTTCCAGGAAGGACAGCAAGCGCTTTTGCTCGACGGTCTGTCAATGTCTCCGAGTTTCAGAGCTCAGATGACCTCGAACCTAATAGCTATGGCCTCCAACCTAGTAGCGTCCTTGTTCCTAGTAGCGATGCCCTTTGCCCCTAGTAGTACGGCCAGGAGCCCCTAGTAGCAACCTTCCTCCTAGTAGCGATGCCAGGAGCCCCTAGTAGCGATGCCCTTGTTACTAGCGGCTTCCAAGCTAGAAGCAATGGCTTCTGAAAAAGAAAACCCGGCACCTCGAGCAAAGATGCCGATCTCGTTCCACTCTGGTAGTTAAAGCCATTTGATCCGTAGGAAACAACCTAGAGTGACCACAAAGCCACGGATTTGTCAAACGTTGAATTGCCAGGTTGCCTTCTCTTGGATGTCAATGTCTCGAGTCCTAACAGTGAAACATAGTGAAACTATCACGGCACTTGCAATGTCTGCAATGACATCTTCATGGGGTGTACAAGCCAATGCAAGGGTGAAAGCCAAGTAATGCATTCCAAGCGAATGCCCCTACATGATTACTGAATAATTGAAACACACTAGAATCCGTTGCGTTCCTGCGTGCACCACCAAAGACAACAAGAATCACGAGG